TAGGGCTGTTGTACATAGGGTCGCTATGAGTTGCAAGTGACTCAACGGCACATAACAACAACAACAATAACAAGACTTTCAATACAATATTGAATAGGAAAGGTGATAGTGTGCATCCTTGCTTAGTTCCTGTTCTCAAAAGGAGTGCCTTCAGTCTCTGCATTGAGAACAATATTAGCTCTTGGGTTTGTGTATATACATTTGCTATGTTGAAGAAATTCCCCTCTAATCCTATTTTGTCGAGTGTTTTAAGCAGGATAGGGTGTCAGATTTTTAACCAAAGGCCTTTTCTGCATCAACTGATAGGATCGTGTGGTTCTTGTTCTTTGCTTTGTTAATGTGACCAAATACCCTGATTGTTTTTCTTATTGTCAAACCATCCTTGCATACCTGTTATGAATCCCATTTGGTCATGGTGATTTTTTTTTTAAAATATATTGTTGGATTCTATTGGCCAGGATTTTATTCAAGATTTTTGCAGCAATGTTCATTAGAGATATTGGCCTATAGTTTTCTATTTTGTTGGTGCCTCTACCTGGCTTTGGTATCAAGAATATGTTTGCTTTATAGAATGAGTCTGGGAGAATTTTATCTTCTTTTATTTTCTGAAATAGTTCATGTAGAATTGGTGAGAGTTCTTCTGTGTATGTTTGATAAAACTCACTTGTAAAACCATGTGGTCCAGAGCTGTTTTTGGAGGGAAGTTGTTTTATTTCATTTTCAATTTCCTCTTTTATAATGAGTCTGTTTAGGTGTTCAATTTTGGTTTGTGCCAGTTTAGGTAGGTTGTGAATTTCTAAGTATTTGTCCATTTCCTATAGGTTTTCATATTTGCTTGAACGTAATTTTTCATATAATTATATTGTTGTTGTTGTTGTTGTTGTTATGTGCCCTCGAGTTGTTTGCAACTCATAGTGACCCCATGTACAACAGCCCTAAACCCTGCTCTATCCTGTGCCAATCGCATTGCCTCTGACACACCGATTCTGATTACCCCAGTCACTGAATCAATCCACCTCATAGAGGGTTTTCCCCTCCTGCACCGTCCCTCTACTCTACCCAGCATGATGTCCCTCTCCAAAGACCTCTCTCTCCTTACAACGTGTCCAAAGTATGTCAGACGAAGCCCCAGAATCCTTGCTTCCAAGGAGTAGCCTGGTTTAACCCTCTCTAGGATGAATCTGTTTGCCTTTTTATTTTAGTTGATTTTGTTGTGACATTGCTCATTTCATCTTTTATTTGGATTATTTGTTTCTTTCCCTTCTTTTCCTTTGTTAGTTTTGCTATCGGTTTGTTGATTTTACTGACCTTTTCAAAGAACCAACTCCTAGTTTTGTTTATGATTTCAAATGCTTTTCTGTTTTCCATTTTATTTATTTCTGTCATAATTTTTATAATTTCAGGTTTTTCTAGAGGGTGTTGGGGTCTTTTTTTGCTGTTCTTTTTAAATTTGTTGGAGATGTTGGGTTAGAGAGTTAATGGTAATTTTTTTCCTGACTTTTGATGTGTTTGCTTATTGCTATAAAGTGACCTCTGATTATTCCTTTGGCTATTTCCCAGGGGTTTTGGTAAATGGTGTTTTCTTTTTCATTTGTTTAAAAAAACTTACGAATTTCATTTTTTAATTTTTTCTAGTACCCACTCATGTTCAGGCAAGGTGTTGTTCAGCTTTTAAAGATATTTTTTTTCTCCTTTATCTTCTTGTTATTAATTTCTAATTTTGTAGCATTGTGGTCTGAGAAGATGCTTTGTATTATTTCTGTGTTTTAGAGTTTATTGATGTTTGCCTTGTGACCAAATACGTGATCTACAGAATCTCCATGCACATTGGAGAAGAAGGTATACTGTGCCTTTTTTAGGGTGTTTTAGCCTATAAATTTATCTAAGAAGTCAAGTTGATTTATTGTGTGGTTTAATTATTCAGTATCTCTGTTGAGTTTCTTTCTGGTAGTTCTATCTCTTCTTGAGAGTGGTGTATTGAAGTCTACAGCTACTATAGTGGTGTTATATATTTCCTTTTTCAGTTTTGTTAATGTTTGTTTTATGTATTTTGCAACTCTATCATTTGATGCATAGATATTTA